GAGAGCCCTCAGAATGCGGCCAAGTGCTGTCTGAATGCATTTCACCTAGAATTAATAGCACTGCGTTTAGCATGTATTGCCTTTTAATGAATCAGGTCTGTGCTGGAAGGGAAAGAAAAATGGTTTGTCAAGCGATTGCTGGTTGAAATACAGCAAGAGCCTTCTGTTCTTTGTTTGAACAGCTGCCCTCTTAAAGATGTCTTAATGAAGTCACTGTCCAGGCTTTTTATTCGGGAAGATTGGTCTTTACAAGCTCATCTGTCTTAAGTCAAAACAGTTCCTATTTGTTAATAAGTCACTAACCAAATATTATGAATGAGACTCCGGGAAGCTAGTAAATAGCCAGATGTAGGATGCAATTTTTGTTGCATTATGTCAGCTAAAGGAATTTTTTTGAAAAAGCAACCCAAATGGCAAATGGTATTTCCTCAGTTTATTTTTTTCTAAATGACAACTAGCAACTTAACGGTGCTAAATAGCAGATTAAATGTACAGGTGAGCTTCAAGTGCAGTCCTAGAAACATCAAATAACTCACTGGTTTCTAAGGCAGGGTGCTCCAACTTTTCATACCAAATGGGCCACAATAGTACATTGACATGGAACCCATGGGCCGCTCACTGTCTTGTTAGGTAGGAGGGGGAAGTGAGGCCAGAATTTGTCCCCCCACCACCAGACCTCCTACCTCCTTCCCAAAGCTGGGAAAGCCCTAACTAGGATTTAGGAAGGAGGTGGGAGGGCTCTAAGACCCAGTCAGAGCCCTCCTGCCTCCTTCCCAAAGGCCAGCACCTTGCTTACCTGCTTTGGCAAGGTGAGGGCTGTGGGGGAGCGGCATCAAATGTTGCTGAGGGCCACCAAAGAAATCTAAAGTTGATTGCATAGTCCAGCATTCTTCTCCAATTGCATCCAGTGATTTTGCACCAGCTGTCTGTGCCTCACTCAGCCGATGCAGAAAATATACAGTGAGCTCACCACATTTTGCTGATAGGAGACTCGGAGTGAGACAAAAACAGCCTGAATGACCTTCTGTGAAATAAAGTGGATACAGCGCTAACACAGCTATGGATGGGTCATGAGGGACACTTCCTCCTAAGTTCCATCCATCTTCACCTTATGGATGTACTAAAAGCTTTATAAATATTTTAGCAAACTAATGGACATGTTTTTAAACACTGTGAACCCACAGTTAAAGAAGTGGCACATTGGCAGAAGCTGCAGGGGCGAAAATGGAAAAGCAAATGGCTCCTTATCTTGCGGTTATTCTAGAAAGCGGAAGAGGAGGGTGTGAATGCAGATCTCTAGGTCTCAGCAGGCTTTCAAGGCTTTCCCTTCAGCTCCATGCCTGAAAAACACTTAGAGCAGAAATATTCATTTCTGAGTTACATAGCACTGCCAGTCCAGTGGAGTAGTGATAAACTTGGAAGTACAGGAGCTCATTATGATTGCCCCATAACCATGTCCACTAGGAATCTCCAGAAATGCAGACAGTGCAACGTGGGTGGGTGGGTGGGTGGTATGACATACAGTGGTACCTCAAGTTACAAACGCCTCAGGTTACAAATGCTTCAGGTTACAAACTAAAATAACCTGGAAGAGTTACCTTGAGTTGAGAACTTTGCTGCAGGATGAGAACAGAATTGTGTGCCAGCCGCGCATCGGCAGCAAGAGGCCCCATCAGCGAAAGCACACCTCTTGTTAAGAACAGTTTCAGGTTAAGAATGGACCTCCGGAATGAATTAAGTTCATAACTAGAGATACCACTGTACACACACATATAAAAAGTCATAGTGCATAGCATGTTGGCAATACTATGCATAGTTTCCTGGGACTAAGTAGTGCTTTCTTCTGACTGCATAGGTTCAAGTCCCAGAACTGTACTCACCTACATTTCCTCCATTATCCACAAGTAAGTACATGCATCTTTATAGATTGCAGGAATTAACTTGTGGGATTACATGAATCCGTGCAGGATAGGTCTATAAGGCATGATAACTAAGTGAAACCCCCATTTTTAGAAGCAGGACACGTCTATTCTAGATAGTGAGGTCAGGTGAGAGGCTTGTTACATAAAGGCTATTTGTAAACATCTGGCTGTTGCTGGAGTCTTGTTCTGATCTACCTGGGATATTCTTACATAATGCCTAGCTATGCCCATAAATATAAATTAGTGTGCACATATGGAGACAAATGTGAAGGCAAGAAGCAACTAAGAGTCATTCCTCCCAGGTAGAAGCCTTTCTGAACTTCAGGCCCACGTTATGGTGGCTTGCCTGGATGTCAACAAACCCTGCACTCCCTTTCCCATCATGTATTTATTTATTCATTACTTATATCCCACTACTACTCCAGAAGTTTAAGATGATGTGCATGGCTCCTCCTTCCCCCCTCCCCTTCTTATTGTCACAACAATCTTGTGAAGCAGGTTGGGCTGAGAGTTGGGGATAGTATCAACAAAAGTATAATGTCCAGCTTATAAGTTAATGGTGCCACTCTATTTTGCTGTCAGACTTTATCTGGAGTATGTTTAGACCTGGGAACCATAATTTTAAAAGTATAGCGACAGCTTGGAATGTGTGCAGAAAAGGGTGATAAAGCTGGTGAGAAGGACCTAGAGACCAAGTCCTATGAAGAAGTCCAGTTGAAGGACCTGGGTGTGTTTAATCTGAAGAAGAGACAAGAGACAATGTGGCAGCCCTCCTCAGATGGGATTCTGCCATTTCTGAACTCTCCACACTAGCCATCCCTGCCACCATCCTCTTCAACCCTGCCCTAAGTCGGCTGCTCCATTAGTGAGCAGTTATTTGCATTGGAAAGTTGGCTGTGATGTCCACATTGGCCTCAAGACAAAGGAGAAATTTGTCATTGATTACAAATGCCCAGTAAATGTAGAATCCTGGCTGTTCTTTTGTTTTCCACATTGAGATGCCATTAGCAGACTACAGCAAAATGCCACTCCAGGGAATATATTACTGAGAGATCACTATATTTCTCAGATGCTAAGGGGGAAATGCTTCCGCCACGGTTTTTTTCCTCATAATGCTGTCAGAAGCGTACCATAATGACTACAAAACATACTGTTTAGCATGTCTTTCCCTAATTGCAGTGGTGGCATTAGTTAATTTACATTGCCTCCGACAAAATGCATATTTCTTGTTAACCCGGGAGTGAATCCACTGGAAACAAAGGCAAAGTATGATAATTGCTTACTGCTTTTCTTATCACTTGATAACTGTATAATTAACTCATTTTCCATGTACATCCTAATTTTAGTTAATCCAGTGTATACAAGTTTGTGAATAACAAAGATAGGCTGAATCTACAGAAAGCTAGATAGAAAGCATCTATTGATAAAGCACTGACTTTGCACTCATGACAGTTAATTTTAAATCTCTGTATGAATTGTCCTTTATGCTGTTCATATTTGAAAGTGGTGTCACTTTGCAAAAAGCCATAATCAGGCAAAAGAGAAAATGAAATATGTTTGTATAAAAGATAAGCTGAAGAGAAATAATATTTTCTTCAGATCAAATGTCCAACACATCAGTGCCATGAGGCATACGGAGCTGGAAAACCAGCTAAATAGGATTGTGAAATTGTAAACAAATGAAGAATCTATCTGTTCAGCTACATGCAACATTAGCAACATGATTTGCAATCATGGGGTGTGGGTGGGTGAATTTGAAAGCAACAGACATGAGTCCATCTGATTGTTATCAAGATTTCTGTGTTTAAACTTTATTTCCCCAGCCAGAATCTCCATGAGATCCAACTACATCATGCACATAAAATTCCCAAGTGACTATTTTCAGGGTCTCTCCCCACCTGTTTATAGCCCTTGATAACAATGCAACATAGTCAATAAGAAGATATCAAGACAAATTAAGAGAAATGGTTCATACCTTCACTCTGCCATGTTGTGGTAAAAAACAAAAAATCTTGCAAAAAAGGAATGCAATCTCCCCTATGATTAAAGCAGTACTTTTGTACACTGGCCTAAGCCCTGATGCGGGTGGTGCTGTGGGTTAAACCACAGAGCCTAGGGCTTGCCGAACAGAAGGTCAGTGGTTCAAATCCCCACGACGGGGTGAGCTCCCATTGCTAGGTCCCTGCTCCTGCCAACCTAGCAGTTTGAAAGCACGTCAAATGGCAAGTAGATAGGTATTGCTCCGGCGGGAAGGTAAACGGCGTTTCCGTGCACTGCTCTGGTTCGCCAGAAGCAACTTAGTCATGCTGGGCACATGTACGCCAGCTCCCTCGGCCAATAAAGCAAGATGATCACCACAATCCCAGAGTTGTCCGCAACTGGACCTAATGGTCAGGGGCCCTTTACCCTTTACCTTTAAGCCCTGAATAGAAAAGGAAGCATTCATCCCATTGTGGAACTATTGTTGTTGTTAATACAATTTATTATCTGCCTTTCACCCTAAGATCCTAGGGCTGGTTACAACAATTACAACACAACATTGTTGGAGCCAATCCACATGGGCAAAGGAAATGATTGTAGACATATTGTTCTTTTCAAGACTGTAAGCAAATTATATGAGTCTCTAGTACCTAACAACATTCATCACACCTTGAAAAAAGGGAAGTGCATTAGATCCGGTGCAGATGCTGCTACAACTGTGATTACCCATCGCATCCCATTATCTGTGGATTTAAGAGTCGAAGCTTTGAGAGCCTCTGAAAACTACTAAACCTTGTGATGCAGCAGCAAAAGAAGGTGGAAAACTATTGTGAAATCCAAGGCATATTCTGCTGTACACAGAGATGCTGTAAAAACTGCTATCGTCCTTCCTTTAGAACAAAAACAACAGCAAAAGTTCATGCAGGATATACATTTGCTGAAAAGCATCCTTGCAGAGCGACAGAAGGGAATGGATGCTAGAACACTTTAAATAACAACAAAAATGTTTTAACTTCAGGTTGGGAACATAGTTGCTGCCACCTAGCAATGTCCTCCTGCTACTCCAACAAACAAGTATTTCGTCTGTTCACCTTTCAGATCAGTATCTTCATGACTCATTTGTCTAACTACGGGAATGACCGCTTGGGTTTGTACACGTTTGTCAATCTGGCCAGCTTTGTTCAGAGCTGGACAAACCTGAAGCTGCAGACCCTGCGTCCCATTCAGCTGGCTCACAAGTATTTTGAGCTCTTCCCTGAGCAAAAAGACCCACTCTGGCAGGTAAGGAGACCCAGCTGACTGAACAGCAGGAGCCCGGCATTCATTCACAATATTGTTTTAGGGAAGACTGCCTGCAGGGGGAGGGGGGAGAACTATAAATGCAACGTCTACTAATTAAGACATTTAAATCTGTTTTTAAATGGCCTTTCAAAATCATTTAATTCCCCTTTCAAAGTCAGCAGTTTGGCCTAGGAATACATTAGCTAGAAGATAAGGTACTGTCTGTCACATTACCTTCATTAGCACCTGCCTAGAGCTAGGCTGTAAAATAACAGCTATTACACTGACTGTTGTTTATAAGAGACAAAGAGTGTTTGTGTGCTCTTCATATCATGCCTTCCCCTTTATTTGCTTGATGCATTGCATTAACTTGTTTTGATGAACAGCCAGCTAGATGACTACAGACAGAGCAAGCAGACAAGCTATGTTATAACATGGAATCCTTGCAACTCCAATTACTGCAAGCAACCTGGAGGAATGGTAGCATTTGGGATTCATTTATTTGACTATTTTGAAGAAAATGTACACAAGTACCTAACTAAGGAGGGGGTCTCTAGCCTCTTGTGCTGTAGGGAAAAATGCACTCCTGGTCAAAATGCGCCAACTCTAGCCCCGCTTAGGCTGCATAGATGCCATATATTGAAAGCACATTTAAAACAGATTACTTTCCCCCAAATAATCCTTGGAACTGTCATTGTTAACACTGATAGGAATTGTAGGTCCGTGAAGGGTAAACTACAGTTTCCAAGATTCTTTGCTTGTGCTTTATATATATGGCATAAGTACAGCCTAGGTCCTTGTGTAGTTTAGAAGAGAGTAGGACACTTGGGCAGATGAAAGTTTCCCTCAAATACTGAAATATATACCATTTCATTATTCCTTGTCTAAAGAAAGCTGCAGTTATTAGAACCGGACTAAATATTTTCACATTTCAATTTTTCCACCAAAAACAGCAATTTAGGGATAAGTAGTAATGGAAATATTTTCCCCAAATCCTTCAATTTTAATTAAATTATTGCTCTCTTTCAAACTTGTTCCGTGCCATGGATTCCTGTGTCTGCTGCTGTATTGGTGCCATTCCCCACCCCCTTCTTCTTCCTGGATTAGTCACATGAGCTATCCCAGCCAATAGTACATAGTGAACAACATGACATCACAGTTCTATATAAGCCAATACTTGACGATATCAGTGAAGGCAAAGTACATTGAGAGTAAGGGCTAGGTTTGTTAGATTATTAGATGTGGGTGATCCTAGCAATTGGGGGATCATGTAGCTGGTTGGGTTGACACAGCCAATCAATTTGGCTACTGAAGGCAAATAAATCAGTTGACAAAGACAACAAGAAAGAAAATCTAAATGATCAGGCGAACAATTTCAGAAGCATTTCTTTAAAAACAGGGAGTACCTTTCAACTTCATTGTAAGAGGGGATGTCTTTCAAAACTGCTGAAAATGAATACAATAAATATTTTTGTCTCAGGCCTACTAATTATACTATCAAATGTCTCTTGCTTCTTCATGCAATGGATATTACATATTTTTACAGTATAAGTAACTTATAATTTGGTCACTTTTTCATGGCTTTTTAGATCCACCTCATGACTCTTCATTGTGCATTTTCAAATACACTAATGTCCCCTGGACTTTTCTGAAAGATGCTGTACTCTGCCTTTTTTATCACTTATTTGCCTCATATATTCCAAATCACTTTTCCCAAGCTCAGGGTGACTACAATTTAATTAAAAACATGTAAATTGTGTGATGCAACACTTTGAAACAGTGGCGGACTAGGTGACCTTCCAGGGTTGCAGGTGCACCTATTTTATTATATTGTCATCTACATCAGGTGGCTTCAAAAAAATGTGAAAGCAAAATTCGTGTCTGCCATATCATTCAGTCAACTGTAAAAGATGTACATCAAGAACTGAAGTCAGCAATTTGGTAGGTGCCATTACACATTGACCACATGCGTGTATATTATTATAGTAATTTTTATACATTTGATATCTGCCCTTCATTAGCAAGTCCCAGGATAGGTTACAACAATTTAATATTCAGTCCTAAAAACAATTACAGCAAATGACAGTCCCAGTAAAAGGGTGTTTCATGTGTACCATCCTAACTTTTGTTCCTGGGAACATTAATAAAAGGATCTTAGTGGGGCCGGGCTGAGAAACAGCTCCTTATAACCTTGAAAGACAAATTTCACTACAATTTTCATTGCTGAAAGAAAGGATTACCCATTTGCTTTAAGCCATGATGCCTGTGGACTGCAATAAAGCCGTATGATCAATACCATCTGAATATCTAGCCCACTGTATTTAGCACACCAGGATCCCCTACAAAGGCAATTCCAGCATGATAATTCTTTTGAAGAGCCTCCTTTCACTTTCTTCTCACATTTTATTTCTCATTAACGCATGGTAGAAGGATAAATGGCTAAATAACCTCGATCTGCGATCTTTCGCTTTTTTTTGTGTCGCCCTGAGAATGTTCAATGTTGCCAAAACACTTTATCTTGGAAACTTAATTGCCACCTGAGTTTGAAGTGGATAAATTTAACTTTAAGTAACAATTCCATTGATTTGCTTCTTTTAAAAGAAGAAATAAAACCAAGCAAACTGTAAATTTTGGATAATCAAATATCAGAACTGGCAACATCCATTACTAAACATTGATGTAGCACATAAAGTGCAAACATTACCTTGCGATGCACATATTCCTAAGAGCCTTGGGAGGTAAGATGCAAATAGCCCTATTATACATCTGGGGAACTCCAGTTGACTATTTAGTAGGGTGATATGCAATGGTTATGTTCCCCAGCCTATGCACAGCAGCAACTAACGCTGGTGTTTATGTGCAGAAAAGAAATCACAGAAAGGTCTCATCGGTACATTGGTGTGAAGGCATTGTGCTAGATAGTCTGTTGCCACAAGGCAGTTCTTTTATGCTGCATTGTTCTGAGAAGGTCACCGAATTCACTGGAGCTAGACAAATGCAATACAAATTGGGATTTGAACTTATAGACCAGAAATTAATGCCAAGTGCTCCAATTTAAACTGAGTTGTTCAACTGTGGTTTGTCAGGCAAACCATGGTGTTTTCACACGATAATTGCACACATCAAACCACGTATTTTAAGTGTAGGTTTTTCTTCATGTGTGAAATTTTATTCTGCATCTTATTTTGGAAAGCTTATTAATGAGACGAATATACACACCTACAAACGGCGGGGGGAAATAGCATTTTGTTGTGTAAAAAAACAACCACCACAAAGAGAAAAAAACCTAACAAATAATTTGTCAGAATAAATAATTTAAAATATAGGCTAGCTTTGGGCACTAGATTCAAGTGACAGTTTGTTACAGCATCTAACATTAATTTCAGCCTTCTCATTAATAGTAATTTGGATACATTCTCTTGCACCTGGGCTTCAAGATCAGGTCTGTGGTCAACCAGGGAGCGGCAGGATTCTTCTTGCATTCCATCGCAGGAAGCGAGGAGCATTCACTACATAGGACATTTCAGTAGGACAGAATTCAGAATATTTGAATTTTTTCCAGGAATTAATCCACTCCTTTTTTTCAATCAGAATCCATGTGATGACAGACGACATCGGGATATCTGGTCTAGGGATAAAACGTGTGACCATCTACCAAAATTTCTTGTGATCGGACCTCAAAAAACAGGTAATTGAATGCTGCAGTGGTATCATTAAACAAGATTCAAAAGTAAAGCAGGATTCGACATTTTGTCCAGGATGTGGTGATTAGGAGAGCTGCTGACGTTGATAAAAGCCATTAACCGCACTCAGAGAGCTTTCCTGTGGACCCTAACATTTTCAATGCTTGACCAAGTGTAGAGCATGGAAAGATATTGATTGCTGGAGTAGAATTCTCCTGCTGAACACTGAATCTTTATCAAAGTAGGGATGGACATTACATTACATTACATTACATTACATTACAGTATGCCGGACTTGGGCTCACAGTCCTACTACCTGACCAGTGGTGCTGTTTTGCAGTCAAGTAGTCCAATACCAGGTAATCATGTGGCCCCAGACACACTATTGACCATATAGTTAGCAACCCACACAATGTCATCCTAAAATAGTGACATGATTTGGTCTTACACTTTTCTCTGGTAGTTATTTTTCATTCATAAATTTAGAAACCATTTTTCAAGCTCAGCAAACTTCCTGGGTTGTTCTTTCTCTTCCAGGCATTTTTAGTTTAAGAACTTACAGCCTTCTCCATTTCTGTGACTATGCAATATCCGTGGAGATAAGGAGAAGGAATAATCTCCACCATAAAAGTCATTCCTTGCTGTTTCCTTTATAACCACTTCTTGTCTCACCTCTGTGCAATTGTCTGATGTCTCTTGATTTAAAGAGACAAAACTGATGAATTGGGAGATGAGATACAAACTAGGTCAGAAAAGAGAGAAACTCCAATTGTTTTAGCAATCTCCTGAGTAAATCTATTGTGGTCTAAAGGCTGAAACACAATTGCTGAGCTGCTTCTATTTCAGTGACAGAGAAGCGAAGGAGGAGATACTACACCAAAGATCCATTGTTTGGCCAATCCCATAGTCCAGCATGCCTTAACATGACAAATAGTATTTTTTACATATCCACCTCAGGGTTGCATAGGCAAACTTGAAAGTGTGATAAGTGAATAAGAGAGACATGTATTTGAAAACAAGTACTGTATACCATATAGCACAGAGGTATAGTAATCAGAGAACCTGGACTGGCTGCAGGTTCCTTTCAAATAATAATAATAATAATAATAATAATAATAATACAGTGGTACCTCAGGTTAAGTACTTAATTCGTTCTGGAGGTCCGTACTAAACCTGAAACTGTTCTTAACCTGAAGCACCACTTTAGCTTATGGGGCCTCCTGCTGCTGCTGCGTCGCCAGAGCACAATTTCGGTTCTCATCCTGAAGCAAAGTTCTTAACCCGAGGTAATATTTCTGGGTTAGCGGAGTCTGTAACCTGAAGTGTATGTAACCTGAAGTGTATGTAACCCAAGGTACCACTGTAATAATAATAATAATAATAATAATTTATTTATACCCTGCCCATCTGGCTGGGTTTCCCCAGCCACTCTGGGTGGCTTCCAACAGAATTTGAAGCACAATAGAACATCCAACATTTAAAACTTCCCTAAATAGGGCTGCCTTCAGATGTCTTCTAAAAGTCAGATAGTTGTTTATTTGCTTGACATCTGATGGGAGGGCATTCCACAGGGCAGGCGCCACTACCAAGAAGGCCATCTGCTTGGTTCACTTGGTTGCAAACACAGGTTTGTTGCAACTTATTGTATAGAAAGTCCCTACCATGTTTAAAATATCCATGCAGTGCTATGGATCTGCATCTATAGATTTCAGGATTATTATTATTTTATTAATTATTGAATTTATATAACGCCCTATATCCGCAGGTCTCAGGGAGGTTCACAGGATAAAATCAGAACAAAAACCATAAAGTACATAATCAAAATAAAAACAACAACAAACCAATAACACCCCCCCCCCAAAAAAACCCCACATTTTAAAAGGGCATAAGATGTCAATCAAATCAACCAAAGGTCTGGTTAAAGAGGAACATTTTTGCTTGGCGCCTAAAGGTGTATAATGAAGGTGCCAGATGGACCTCCCTGGGGAGAGCATTCCACAAATTGAAAACTTAGAAGTTAATGTTTCATCAACAGTGCAAAGTTAGCTGGCGATGAGCAACTGATGGATTATCACTCTTGATAAGAAACAATCATCAGCTCTGAGCCATTGCAGCTTTCCTCCCACAGAACTTCGTATTACATTCTTAAAGAAACCCCAGGAGTTCCTATCATGTAACCTAGTTTGGCAGCTATAGAGGAGGCAGTGGAAAAGGCAGCTTTTAAAATAATCTAAAACTAATTGCATAAAACAGTTTTGTTTTTGTTTCTTTGGTGATGAGGGGAATCTGCTAAATCAGACATTATTTCATCTTCTGTGGCCAAGCCATGAAATTTTCTCAGAAATCCCACTGTATTCAATGGGCTTCAATGGTATTCAATGAGTATTTAGGATTGCAGACTTATACTTCAGTTCTAACTGCATTTATTGGGAGTAGGTTAAACCAGTTTTGATTATTTTAGCCCAATATTTCATTTCATTTTTTATACTTTAGATGCCACAACATAATTATAACATAATATGGCTGGACCTCTAAGGTTCAGATCCATCTCCAACCCCAAAGTACCTGAATAGTACTTTCAGCCTCACAGGGCTGTGCGAATGAAAAGAAAAATGGATTTGTGGATACCTACCATGTGCTCTTGAGAGAAAAGTAGCAGAGAAAGTTAACTTTAATAAATAATAATAATAATAATAATAATAATAATAATAATAATTCATTATTTATACCCCACCCATCTGGCTGGGCTTCCCCAGCCACTCTGGGCGGCTTCCAAAAAAATATTAAAATACTGTGAGTTTGCTTTGATAGCTACTATTTTAGACAAAGGATTGAGCCACCTAATATTTCAGATGGACAGGAACATGTCAAAGCAGAAGGATATCTAAAAATGAAATGAACATAAAGTAGATCATTATCGTATTGAAAAGATTTCTCAGATCCAGGGTAAATTTTACTTTTAAACATATATACATACTTCCCACTGTAGTCAGTAGGGGCCTCATTAACTCACCAGAGAGAAGGATTTAAGTAAAAAGCAATTAAAATAAACCTTTGCCAGGGTTGATATATAAAATACATATTTTTAACATACTTTTCCATTACTGAGATGCTTTACATCTTTTACCCTTCCCTACACTATCATATAATCCTGCCTTCTGTGTTTTTCCCCCTGTAGGAACAACAGCGCTTTATTTATTTCTCCTTATGCATCCTTCCATCATTAGTAATCTCCCTAGTCCAAAAACCTTTGAAGAGGTTCAGTTCTTTAATGGCAACAACTATCACAAGGGAATTGACTGGTAAGTGGAAGAAAAACAAAACAAAGCAAATGTCCATTGTTAGCATATGCCAAACCACAGAGGAGCAATTATAGAAGTATCTGTGACATCTACATAATTTCCAGATAAGATTTTGGTGCATAGTGCTTTGAGAATGAATAAGAAATTAGTTTGTACTGATGTGATGCTTACCAAAATGTTGCGCTTTTTTCATCTCGTCTGACTTTACAGTATCAATATTTACATTCCTCATAAACAAACACAATTGAGGAAAGAGTTAGATTTTCATTTTTATTCTGTTTATGTCCCTTTTAATTTGTTTTTAATTGCCTGTTCTCGATGTTGTATAAATTATTATCAGCAGCAATGAAAAATTCAAGTTCAGTGTGGGGAATGATGTGGAAAGGAAAGGAAAAGTAGAAGTATCATTTTGCGTGGCGAGTTCCCACTCCCCACCAAGGATAAATAAAGACACCGGACACCAGAATTAAGGTTAAATGGGCGAATTAGGCCACAACTTTATTGAATTCAGGAATGAGAGGCATTGGCTTAGGCATTGGTCCTATCGACTATCCAGCTCCAGCCCATTTGCTGAAGACCGGGAAGGGTTAACACCATAGAGGGGGAGTCTCCTGCTGAGGCACGTCAACTAGGAGCTCCCCCGGGTCACCGCTCGGGGGCATGCCTTAGGCCCACACCTCCATAGGCTTCGGACAGGGCCACGCCCCTCGGAGTCCTTTATCGGACCACCCTTCGCTCTCTGGGGGGAGGTGATGGCGTTCCTCCCCCCCCACATCCTCTTAATCCCTTCTTACCAATGCCTAACCGCCAATGCCGAGGAGTTGTGACGAGTTGCTACGAGGTAGGCGAAAAACCAAATGGCCGCAAATCGCCAATTGGGAAAAATTCCTACCATGCCCCTTGCGGCGACAGACCGAAGTCCATAGCAAAGTCAGAAGCCTACCTAAAGGGAGGGAGGGTGGGAAAACGTGGGGGCTAGCTGGCAAAAGAGGGCGAGCCCCGGCTGCGCCAGCCCTAAATAGGGCAGGCCACGCCCCCCAGCCACCCGATTGGCTGGCTGGGCAGATGACGCAGCTGGTATTCCCCTGCTCTCGCGGGGGCTGAAACCAGCCCCCGCTCACGTGGGGTGGGCGTGAAGCCCGCAACCCCACCTCCTGGCCAGGTCCGGAAGTGGCTTTGCTATTACTTTAACTGATGGGGCATCTATTTGTTCATTAGTTTCCCCAATGTATATCTTTGACCGTGCTGCTTAGGCTTCCAAGTGTTGCAATGTTTACTTTGGAGTGAGAGGAAATAACTGGTTTAATGTATTTTCCCATCCCCATCAGCATTGCTGACATTGGTTTTTTACTTGCTTGCAGGTATATGAATTTTTTTCCTACTCCTTCTAACCTCACCACTGATATCGTGTTTGAGAAAAGTGCCAACTATTTCCATTCAGAAGACGCTCCCAGGCGTGCATTCTCCTTGATCCCCAAGGCAAAAATCATCACCATTCTCATTGATCCATCAGACCGGGCATATTCCTGGTATCAGGTATGGAGCTTGTACTTGAAGAAGTGATCTAACAGTAGTGAAAAGTCTAGTTCATATATACTACTTGTGGCAGCATGGGAGTCATATCCTTGTGTCTTACCAAAGGACCTGGTTCCTTCTCTGTTAGCACTGCCCCCATTTCACCTTATCAGAGATGGGTGGGCAGAAGAAGACATGAGCAAGTAGTTCTAGCACTACAGTCGTACCTTGGTTTTTGAACAGAACGCGTTCCGCAAGTCCATTTGACTTCTGAAACGTTTGGAAACCAAGGCACAGCTTCCGATTGGCTGCTGGAGCATCCTGCAGCCAATCCGAAGCCGCACCAGACGTTCAGATTCCGAGGCAAAGTTCACAAACCGGAACACCTTCTTCCGGGTATGCGATGTTCAAGTTCCAAATTGTTTGTGAACTAAGCTGTTCAAAAACCAAGGTACGACTATACTGCAGTCAAGTACAAATCAGATGTCAAACACCTAGACACAGTGTTAGATACCCACACTGGCAAGTGAATCTTTTTCACCTATGTTCCACTGCATCAGTGACCTTTGGTTCCAGTGAGCCAGGTATTTCAGAATGGTTGGTGGGGAGGTGTGTTTTTTTGGGGGGGGTTGCTATTATCCTATGCATTTTTCTTTTGTGCTTTTATGTTGTAAACCTCCCTGTGATATTTGGATTGAGGGCAGAATATAAATTTAATCAATATTAATAATAATATAAATAAAAGGTTTTCACCAGCCCACACCAGTCAAAAGGAGAGTAGTGGCGTTTTGTATTCACTGTAGTTTCCAAACTGTCTTCAGGGGCATTCTGATGTAGAACTCACTACAGTGAATGACAGTAGCTAGATTGGGGAGAAAAGATTGGGAAATATCAGGCATTCCACCTGACTTGTGGTTAATTAACATTCAGTTTTCTTCAACTAGCACCAGCGATCTCATGAGGACTCAGCTGCCCTAAAATTCAATTTCTATGAAGTGATTACTTCTGATGACTGGGCACCCAGTGACCTGAAGGCTCTACAGAAAAGATGTTTGACCCCTGGCTGGTATGCTATCCACATAGAAAGGTGGCTAACACACTTCCCCACTTCGCAGGTAACTTTCCCTCTCTGCCAATTATTTCCCTGTGATAAATGATAATCATAACTTGGTAACATGTTTAATATTGTCGCATGCTTAATAATGAATTGCAATATTGTAGCTTGTTTAATAATGGATTGATAAACCTCAAGCATTCATCTTGTGGCTCATCTTAAAAGACAAAGCACTTCAGCATACACATTCATACACAAGTTCAGTTTTTAAAGAGCTGAAAAACCCATTGGTATCTTAAAACTGGGGGTTCTGCTGAGGAATTTTGAAATATTTTCCCTAGAAGGTTGCTAAAAATGAAGTACAGTGGTACCTCGGGTTAAGTACTTACCGTAATTCGTTCTGGAGGTCTGTTCTTAACCTGAAACTGTTCTTAACCTGAAGCACCACTTAAGCTAATGGGGCCTCCTGCTGCCACCGTGCCACCGAAGCCCGATTTCTGTTCTTATCCTGAAGCAAAGTTCTTAACCTGAAGCACTATTTCTGGGTTAGTGGAGTGTGTAACCTGAAGTGTATGTAACCCGAGGTACCACTGTAAATATGTTGCTGCTGCCTAAAGTTTATTAAAAATAAATAAATTCCTCTAGCCCTGCTTTTTAATAATAATTATTTGTGTGTGAACTTGACCTTAGGAGAAGCAGGAGAGAGCCTACAGGTTTTCTTGAACCCCAGCTCCCATCAGCCCCAGCCTGTATAGCCTATGGTTGGGGGATTATGTGTGTTGCTATTCAATAACATCTAGAAGACCACACATTCTCCTTCTCTGCCTTGAGGGTGTTGCAAATGTGCCATGGAAGGGCAAGAGAGCCCTAAATTCAGCCACAGCATGGAATTCCAGCAAATCCAGTGCTGAGAAGACATCACTTTTGCTCTGTATCCCAGGACTGATAGAATTGTAGGGCTCCTCTTTCCCTCCTGCCATGACACTTTGCTTTACTGCTTTAGCCTGACAATGTAAAAGGATCTACCAGGGATGTGGGCAAGGATATGCATTCACACAGATTCTCTCCAGGCATGCCAGCTGCTCTAGAATCTTCATACTCTTAGTGCAAATTCTAATGGGTTTTTTAAAGCATGTCTGGGTAAATGCACTTAGAAAACATCCCAGAAAAAAGCCAGCTCTCCCGCTCATGAGGTTCCTTAGTGAGTTCAATCAAACAGTTTAAAAAACTCATCAGACCTCCATGCTAGTCGTGCAAAGATCTAAAGAGCAACTGGCTTGCCCAGGGACACAGGAGGGCAGGGATGGCATGCATGTGTTCATATGTTCAGGCAAATGCCTGAACGTGGCTTTTATCTGTGCCAGAGAACACTGGAAAATCGAAAGAGGGAGGTCTGTGATGTTTGTGTGCATGTAGAGCAGCAGTAGGCTTGAAAGGGCCAGAGGTGCCTACCTCTCTGAGCCCATAATAAGGCATGAGAACACAATTTGCAACCCAAGCCAAACACAGCCCACACACTTACCAGTGGCCCACTAGGAGTTTGATTGACCTCCTCTTGTTGTAGTAAGACTGCAGCCCTGCCAACCATTGCCAGGAATGTAACACATATGCCAGCTCTGATTTTATCAGAGTGACTGCAGATCCTTCAGTCTGCTTCCTTTCTTCTAAAATGAGCCTCTTTCTCAGCTTGCCTGGTTGGAGTTACAAAGGCTAGTAACCGTAAGCACTTAGCAACTGTGCTAAAGTGCAGTTGTGGGGCACTCATAATTAATAATGTGCACTCAGAATTTCAATAATTTAAAATAAGCTCAGTCAAAAATGATATCCAGCAAGGAAAATTTAAAAGCTGTGTGCAGCTTCTTGCAACCATAGCAGCATGTTATATTTGTCATCTATATTCATAGGAGTCTATTATTATTATTATTATTATTATTATTATTATTATTATTATTCATCACCAGCAGTTCCAAGGGCTGGTTAGAAGAACTTAAAATTCAGAATTAAAAACAGTTTAAATGTTGGAGTACATGTAGGCAAAGGTAAAGGGACCCCTGACCATTAGGTCCAGTCGTGACCGACTGTGGGGTTGCAGCGCTCATCTCGCTTTATTGGCCGAGGGAGCCGGCGTACAGCTTCCAGGTCATGTGGCCAGCATGACGAAGCTGCTTCTGGTGAACCAGAGCAGCGCATGGAAACACCGTTTACCTTCCCGCCGGAGCGGTACCTATTTATCTACTTACACTTTGATGTGCTTTCGAACTGCTAGTTTGGCAGGAGCAGGGACCGAGCAACCAGTACCAGGTTGAAAAATTTGGAGGAGCCTGCCCCATGCATTGAATGTTACTCCTATAGATCCATTGAGGTCTACAGCTTCATGCATGTAGGCACCAAACTGAATGTGAGGTGGAGATAGGACCAGTGGGTGTACTGACATCATTTCTTTGTGTGTTCACTTTTCAGTATATACCTTTGGGGATGGTGGGGGGAGCATTCACACAGTTCTGTGGTCATTTGGCAAGTTTATTTTGCAAATATGTTGCCTTTACAGTTTGTAAATGCATTTGTAGTGTTGTAGCATAGAAAACAAGATCCAATAACATACCCATCTTTCGTCTAGGTATCTTGTAATTCATGCAACACTAACTCACACTTCATCTGAGATTTTTATTTAAACAAACAATTTATCTATCCATACAGTTGCTAATAATTGATGGACAGCAGCTAAGAAGTGACCCAGCAACCGTAATGGATGAAGTTCAAAAGTTTTTGGGAGTTTCTCCTCATTATAATTATTCAGAAGCCCTAACGTAAGTCCCCTTTACTTCCTTTTTTAAACCCTTTGGTTGTCATCCTCTGCATCTGAATTTTGCACAGGTAATTATTATATGGTTGTTAGGTGAAAGTTTACAGAAGAATAAAGATCTTCACCCATTGCACTATTGGGTAACAGACTGGAAATGCTCAGCATTCTGAAGTCACATTATCTTCTCAGGGGGTTCTCATGTTTTCATGTTCAGTGGGCTCAGGATGCATACAGATGTACATAAAAATAAAGCCCAACCTGGCTTTGCTAACCCAAAGATTGCATGATTCTTTTTGTAAGGTAACCAAGTTCTTTTCCTTCTTAAGTCATTTGGAACCTTTTTCATCTTCAATGTACTGCCCATGGATGGAGACTTGTTTGCTGTAACTTCTGGAAACTCTGTGAATAAAATATTCACTTATTTGCAAAGCTAACTGTCTGTGATTTATTCTCTCCTAAGTATTTCAAAGGTTTGTTTAAAAGATGGTTGAATGCAGATGTAAATCTAACCAAGTTTTAATGTGCTTGGTTTCCTTACAAAAAGGATCATGCTATCTTTGGGTGAGCAAAGATGCAGACTATAAAATATCATTTTAGAGAGATTCAGCCCCCTTGTAGTGAGCCATTGCCGCATGGCTATTTGCTTGTTCCACAAAACAGAAATAGAAAGACTGGGAGGGAGAAAACAAAAGGCTGTAGGGAGCCTGCTAAGCTCCACCTCATTGGCAACCTAAGCTCTGGTTAACCCTTTCATGCACACAAGTGTGAATCAGTAACTATATTACAACAGTGGATTGTGCCCACTCTCCACAATACCAGTGGTTATAAAATCAATGCAAGCTTCTGCAGTTTCATTGCTTAGGGCTCATCCAGAGTTGGCAGCAAAACACACATTTCTTCTGGGCTTTTTTGACAGCTGCCTGTCCTGATTTTCCTCAGCTCCACCATATTATTTTTCCTGTAATCAGTTATTTTTGGTGTCCTAACATGAGTAGGTGTATAATTTGTAGAATACCACTCCCCCAACCTCCCCACTTCCCCACTCCTCTTTATGGTCAGTTGAGGTGCCTTGGTACCACCACCCCTTTTTTAAAAGGGCACCATTGCGCCAAATCATCTGCCTGCCTTTGTTTTACTTGATTAAAGAAATAGAAAGAATAAAAAGAAAAAAGAGAGTAGTTATAGAGAATGAGGAAGAGGAAAGTAATTTGGGGTTAGATTTTAAAATTATTGTCAAATTAGCACTGTTTCTTGGTAAAGTTATATACATTTCCTGGAAAGCATATATATTGTTTGGAGCATAAGTTCTACAGCTTTATTTCTTTCCTTGTGCATAGGCAGTGACATTGCTTCTCCTCTTGGGAAATTACTGGAAGCTAGCAAAAGTACTTTGCTATGCAAAAAGGAGATTGGGAAATTGTAGATAGAAATGAATCTCCTCTCAATATATCCTTTTTAAATCAATGATTTATTTAATTTTAATTGATACCACAACTAAAATACAATTTAGGGGCTGAGGAGTAGAAGTAACAGACCGAGCTGGGAGAAAAATACCTCTCTATATCTGAAATGTGTTTTTATATGTGGGTATATTCAGGTTCATTGCTATTATCGGAACAAGCCCAAGGCAAAGAAAAAAAATGCATTTGGCAGCTAATTACTGTTATATTCCAACCAATTATTCTGCAACTTTCCAAAACATCTACTAAATAGTGAAAACATTGCAGACTTTTCCAGCATTTTACATATGCTGCGACAGTATATTCAAAACTAATATATTTGGTTCCTTCATTAGTATGATTTTAATTAAAATAAAATTACATTTCCTCATCTATGATTTTTAAGTTTGACATTTCAAATTCTTGCCCAGATTTCTTTTTTATTGGAAAGGTGAAAATGACTGCCAGAGATGACTGCCATTGAGTGTTGAGAAGCTTTGGTTTTCTCCCATGTACATCTTCCATTAATTTAGGCAAACTTTTGTAGGTTTGACCCTCAGAAAGGGTTTTGGTGTCAACTACTGGAAGGAGGAAAGACAAAATGCCTGGGGAAAAGTAAAGGCCGAAAATACCCACCAATGGATCAAGAGGTACCATTTTCTTCATATATCTAAACTTTACAGCTATACTAACATTTTAATGTCTCAATGAAGAAAAAAGGGGGGTTCACTACTAGGAGCAGTACCAGCTCCAGGTTCAATTGCAAGATGCCACCAAGGAGTTCCCCTTCTCTCAGTGGGTCTTCCTTCTGTTGCTGCTGCCCATTGGCTTGCCATTTTTGTCCAGGACCAATCCACATAGCCTACCAGAGGGAGGGGGGAAAGCAAGCAGAGGTTGCAGCTCCTTCTCCTTGCTCCTGTCATTGCTCATGTGCTCAGAGATGGAAACCAAACATTTAGCAGCAGCAGTGAGAAGCAGTAAGACCAGAAGATCTGAGGGGATGACAATGGGCAACTTGTAGAGGCAGGGAATCTCAGCAGGGCCTTGACATTGCTAACCATCGTTGTGGGTCCTGATCGGAAACTGAATTGTGCCTTTATTGTGCAGGGCTAATGGCAGTGATTTCTGTTGAAAGCTTATTATCAGAAATATAATATACTAGTGGGAAGTGCCTAGTCCTGCCCTGGATTAAAAAAAAAACCAACATATTGTGGTTTTAAAATGGATAGTGTAATTTATGAGTTTGAACCCATCACGCTAAAAAAATTGTGAAGACACAACAAAGTCTCATTTTGGTCTGCCATCTTGATTCAAAATGGTGCTTGGCATTCAAAGACTCTCACCCCCAACTTAGCAACCCTTGTGCCAAGTTTGGGGGGGCAAATTCACAGCACAGTCACGTTTGGATCTGCCATATTGAATCAAAATTGTGCCCAGCATCCAAGCATTGATGTCTGCCATCCCCTCTTCAGGAACCCTCATGCCAAGTTTGTGGACGCTATATCAAGAGGTGGCCAAACCGATGCCAAACCTGGGTGAAGTCATGCCAAAGTAATGTTTTGATTCAAAATGTCACCCAGTGTCCAAGCAGTGATGACGTCTGCCACTCCACCTCAGGAACCCTCTAGCCAAGTTCAGTGATCAAACATTACACCTGACTTCATGTGACTTTGCTCACAAAAGCAGGCACATCCGTTTTTTTGTTTAATTGTTATTGATTTATCATAATCATATGTACAAACTAACACATAGCCCTACATAAAATAGCAGAAGCATACACAGGGCATATTCAGTATAAAAAATAAATTACAAGATGGAGTTACATATAGCCAAGATTTCAAGATGAATCTATATAGCTCAACAGGCACATCCATCACATGAGAAAAGCAAGACTGCCAGGAATAAAATATATGAGTTATGCATGTGTTTTGATTTGTAGAACAAAGAAACAAGTTTATTAAGGGGTTGGCTGAGATCCCCCTATAGCTTTCAAGTGGCCTGAGAAAAGGGTTTTATAAGAATTATTGTTTTACGTAAATCCTATGCAGAGGACTCAGTTTGACAGTTGCTTTCTTTTCCTCATTGTCAGTCTAGGGCATTCCTTTCAAACTACTACAGAGATCACAATGTGGAACTATCCAAACTGCTGCACAGACTGGGACAACCTTTGCCATCGTGGCTAAGACAAGAACTTCAGAAAGTGAGATAGCAAAGAGACACCAAAGCGCCGATCCCCTGCTTTTTTCACTCTCCCGCTCTTCACGTTCCCGGTTCACGTCCGATTATTAGTGAAGGATCTCATGAATAATTCTTTCTCAAGAGCAAATTTTTAAAAGGCCACACACACACACACACAACCAGAAAAGAGCAAAATTGTTAAATATGCACAAGCTGACAGTTATTAGTAGCCGTTTTTAGTCAGCTTCTGGGGAAAGATTCTGAGCTATGAGGCATTGTTCTTTATCCAGTCTGGGGCTCAGACTTATTCTGTTTACCAGACAGACACAGAAACTGTATGTATGATCGATAGTCTTCATCCTATATGACAAATTACAGTCTGTCAAGACACAAGCAAAGGATGGAAACATCTCTCGGTGGATTGTGAGGTTTGTAATTTCCTTGACAACTGCAATTTTAGTCAGCTTCTATATCCCTCCCTCCTTTGTTATTTTGGGGCTCATCTTGCAGCTAGCCCCTCCCCCCCAGTAAAATGAAGGCAGTTACATTCTGCAAGGGTCGGCATTCTGTAGGTATGCTTGCTTGTTCTGTGCTGCTTGTTTTATTCCTTCTTCTTAATAATACAGAACAATCTTCAGTCAGTATATATATATATATATATATATATGCTTTCGTAGATTTTCACGGGTACAGGAATGCAGGTTTTGGTGTCCTCGGGTGTCTTCCCGTGTAAAAGTTGGGGTGTCTAGGCGACGTTTCGACGAGGTCTCACTCGTCATCTTCAGGCTGGTGCTTTCGGCTTCTTGTTACTGGAACAGAGCAGGATCTCAGTGTTTGAGTTCCTATAAATACTGTTGAGGGGGTGTGGTGTATAGCCTCCAATGTTCTGGGCAGAGAGGAAGTTCCCAGGTTAGTGTGCCTTTTCTTCTTTTGTTCCTTAATTACTTGAGGGATATCTTGAGTGATTTCTTGAGTGATATCCTGAGTACCACTTAGGTGGGTCATTAGGTGTGGATTAGTTGCTAAAGCCTTCGTGTCTTGACCTCTTGAACTTTGTGAAGAGTTTTTCTGAGAAGATGGCTGTACTGCAATTAGTTGTGCTCTGGCTTGGCTTCGTGTATAGGGGCGAGCTGTGGTTTTGTGTCCTGTGCCAGCCAGATCTGTGTAGGGATTGCAGGGGGGTGCAGCATCCAGTAGCCAAACCATGGTGGCACCTCCGGATGCTGCACCCCCCTGCAATCCCTACACAGATCTGGCTGGCACAGGACACAAAACCACAGCTCGCCCCTATACACGAAGCCAAGCCAGAGCACAACTAATTGCAGTACAGCCATCTTCTCAGAAAAACTCTTCACAAAGTTCAAGAGGTCAAGACACGAAGGCTTTAGCAACTAATCCACACCTAATGACCCACCTAAGTGGTACTCAGGATATCACTCAAGAAATCACTCAAGATATCCTCAAGTAATTAAGGAACAAAAGAAGAAAAGGCACACTAACCTGGGAACTTCCTCTCTGCCCAGAACATTGGAGGCTATACACCACACCCCCTCAACAGTATTTATAGGAACTCAAACACTGAGATCCTGCTCTGTTCCAGTAACAAGAAGCCGAAAGCACCAGCCTGAAGATGACGAGTGAGACCTCGTCGAAACGTCGCCTAGACACCCCAACTTTTACACGGGAAGACACCCGAGGACACCAAAACCTGCATATATATATATATATATATATATATATATATATATGCCAGCAGAAGCTCAAGTCTGTTGTTGTAGCATGTTTCTTAAGGAGACGTTGCTGCTTGCGAAGTTACAGCTGCTATGCGGTGTTCATTATTCCACATGGTGGCCACCAGCTTGTGTATAGCATCTCGGCCTCAGGTTGACACTTTTGAGTGGTTGTAGCAATAATAACTGTCTCACCTATGTGCTGTGCCACTTCACACAAGAAACTGGTCATGTGGCAATGACTGCCTCACTGAGTCAGTGGTGCCATTAGATGATTTTAGACTCAAGACATAACAGTCTTACAAGGCCTCCCCTCTTTAGATGGCGCTGTTTCTTTCTTAATTTTCAAATATGGTAATACAACGGCACTGCTGTGTTTGGGGGCCTCCTGCACATTCTGGGCTTCTTCCCTAAAGTCCTATCTTCCTAATTCCAGTATGTGGAGTGACTTCAAGCAACCTCCATATGGTGACTTTCCCCATGAATTGCCTCCTACCACTGGCGGAGGAAGAGGGGTGTGGGGGGAGCGCAGTGCCCCCTGGCAGTGCGATCCCAGTGGGGTGCCATCATGGCTGCCCCCCCGCCTGCGCTGGATGCCATGCCCCCAGGATTCACACCACACCCCTGTGGGTGGCATGTTATGCCCCCAGGACATGCTCCAGCCCCAGCCCCACCTGCTCTCTGCCCTCCGGTGCCGGAGCATGAAGCTCCGCCACTGCCTCCTACATTACCAAACAAAATGCTGATTTTCTGACTGTCACAAGAATTTTTCGGCAAGTACCCAGATAAAACTTCAATAGGAGCTTTCGTGCTGAGTAGCAACCATGCTTCGAAATCAGTTCTAAGTGTATCGCTGAGGACTTTACATAAAGTATGTCACACATCAGGTAAGGGGTAGTATCACAAAGTTGTGTTAAAGAAAGAACTGTGTTGATTAACAGGACAAAGTGGATCATGGAGTATTAAAAATGATTTGCAACAGTGACTTTTTAATGGTGCCTTAAGGCTGAAAGCCTATACTTTCTTTCCTAGGAGCAAGACCCATTGAACTCAGTGAAATTTCTAAATAGATGTGTATAGGAAGGTGCTGTGTGATTTTTAACAAAGCATACCACAAATTGCTTGTGTGACCCACACCATTTCTGTTGTCCTGTTTTGATTAGACATGAAACCACTTCCTGGTATCATAGGCCTAGTCTCATGGAGTGTACTGCTTCATATTTCAAAACAAACCAAACACAAAAACAAAGAGGACCCACATAGAAAACTAGCGTGTCAGGGGTGACTAGGCTAGAACAACCCTTCTTGACATCTAGGTTTCCATGTGCAGGGATTTATTTAGTATGGAGGATATGGTGTGCTTTGAAGAGGTGAAATATATCATTGTTGATCCAAGTTCTCACAATGCTTGAATTATGAAATGAAATAAAATATGTATCTTGGGGGAAGGAGCTAATTAACTCTACAAGACACATCTCCTGACAATTTAGACATAAAGTTGACTCGTAAGTTGCATGCATTTAACTTATGCAATTGCAGCTTTCTGTGGTTGGTCGCCGGCCAGCTGACATCACACAGATTAAATGCACCGCAAGGCGGAGAGATTTAAGAGCTCTTTCTGTGCTGGGAACACCAGTCTCAGGCATGCCTTCCAGGCTTGTGTGGGCTGTTGTGTGAGGGCTTAAGAGCTCTTTCCGCAACAGGTTGGATCTAAGCAATACACTTGTTCTCCGAAACAGGTTTGCTAAGGAGCACATTTGTGTTGGAGAAACAGCTGATCTTGTGGGGTGTAATCACTCAGTTATGCTTCTGGCATCACTGAACATTGGTTCTGAGTAGAAGGAGCTGAGGCTTCCTCCTGTTGACTTGGTATCAACAGAACAGAGTCCGCCCCATATTCATAATTTCTCTAGCCTAATAATATCCATACAATAAAATTTGCCTTCCTTGTTAAGGTTCCCCAAAGGCTCTAATTTGGTATCACAGTGTCTTGCAAGCTTTCTTAATATTAGCATTATTTTTTCTTACAATTTCTCACCACTTTAGTACATGCAAGCAACCTTGCAGCTGTTTTAAAAGTGTTTGTAGAGGAGTTTTGTCTTAAGGCATATCTATGCCATAGATAGCTTTAAAGGGGGGGGCGAATGCGAATTCGTGGAGTTTCCAGAGTAGCGATGCCGTCAAGGGGGGTGGTAATAAATGCTTCATTTAAAGAAAACATGTTTTCTTTTTCTCTGCATCCAGTGTCTCTTTCCTATGCATTTTAAAAAGTGTGGACTCAAGAACTGGATGCTCCCCAACGCTGCTGCATCTACAGCAACAAATAAAGATTCACAAGCGACACAAACTCTTACATCTGCCATGTTGCAAGAACTGGATTTATATAAATATATATAGAAAACATAATCGCTCCCCCACACACAAACACACACTGGAAAATAATTCCAATATGTACTTTGATGTTTAATGCCTTGAAAATGGATTGTTTTCTACCGAACTGTTGCAAATCCCAATTGCCTGGATATATACTTGATGCTGGAACTAAAGGGGACGAAACTTTCAATCACCCTGGAATATTTTTTAGCTTTCTTTGTTTGTTTAGGGGGATATACTATGTGCATACACCTTATTTTTTTCTTCCTCACACTTCTACAGAATAAACATTTCTGCTGCGATATTCTGTAGATGGTCTCCCGTTGTTTCCCTTTGGATTCCTAGAAGGGCTCCTCTTATTTTCTTATGATGCCTCCAAGTGGTTGGATGCCTAGGATCATCATGTGGCCTACTGTACAAAGGATATAGCTCTATGTGGAAGGCTGTCCTGTTCAAATCCATTAAGGAGCAGGGACTGCAGGTAGCACCTAAGCAGCAGACGGAGTAGGCACAAAGATCACCAGGTCATAGTCTTCCCCACAATGGTGAGATGGATTGCATTTCTGTTTAAATTGTGGTATGTCATTTAAAATCTGCACCTATTCATATAAATTAGCTTATGCAATTTTTATGCAAATCAGTGTCCTATTTTGTCCTTTTCATTTTGCTGAACCGTATCCTCTTTTTTTTATGAGTGCACAAGCGACCGTCCTACCACCTGGTCCCTAAGCACTGAAGATTAAACAGTTCAAGACGTAAAGGTTTTCACTCCATCAAGAGTTTTATTCCTCCTCCGCCAGCCTCCAGTTGCCTTGGCGCTTGTCCTGAAGCTGCGCAGATGAATGTTTAGCAATAGTGCTGTGTCTTAAGGGCTTCTCCAAATGATTGGCTCGAAGGATATCTTTTATCACATTTTTGGCCTTTGGGGGAATAATCCTGCAACACCTGATTCAAAGACAGTAGCCTCACATCAAGTTCAGAAGAAATGGATGGGACACAGTGCTGTTTCTTGGCAGAGGGCAGAGGTAGCTGTGCTGCTGTTTTTGACCTCTTCTTCTTTTCCTTTTATTGATGTCGTGCATCCCAGCACCTATGAGGAGGGGCACTCAGCCCATAAGTAGGGAATTCATGCACTGGAGTCACAATTGACTAGTCACAAAGCAATATCCAATTCCTGGAGAAGACCCATTTCAGTTCCATACTGAGTGGGTAGATCTGGACACCGCAGGCAATGCTTAAAGGCATTTCCCTTCTTCCTGTGTTTCTAGTTTCATGCCTGGTGTCGCACAAGGTGTGAGCTTGCATCATCACACTGTACAATTTGCTCACGTTATTGGCTGCTGGTGGCTGTGCCAGGAAATACAAAGTACAGTAATGTCACATCACACATTGTACACATATATTTTCCCCTGCAAGTGGAAAAGCAGTTGATGGTGGAGATTTTAGGTGTGTGGGGTGGGGAGACCCACCAGAGGTGAGAAAGAGTTAAGAAGTAGTTTTCCCTATCCATTTCCACATCCACACTGGTCTTCCTACTGCAGATCGCAATCTCTACAGCTGCATTTTGTTAAAAGCATGGTAAGTTTTGTATGTGGGAGGGACGCGGGTGGCGCTGTGGTCCAAACCACTGAGCCTCTTGGGCTTGTCAATAAGAAGGTCGGCGGTTCGAATCCCCGCAACGGGGTGAGCTCCCGTTGCTCGGTCCCTGCTCCTGCCAACCTAGCAGTTCGAAAGTACGTCAAAGTGCAAGTAGATCAATAGGTACCGCTCCGGCAGGAAGGTAAATGGTGTTTCCATGCGCAGCTCTGGTTTGCCACATGACCCAGAAGCTGTACGCCGGCTCCCTCAGCCAGTAAAGCGAGATGAGCACCGCAACCCCAGAGTCGTCCGCGACTGGACCTAACGGTCAGGGGTCCCTTTACCTTTAACTTAAAGTTTTGCATGCAAGTGAACAAATGGAGTAGTTCACCCCTAGTCTTTGTATCCTGAGAAAGTCGCCTCTTTGAGGCTTGCTTCCAAAATTAAGGTCGGAACATGGTGCCCACCTGGAAGGAAACTGCATAACACTTCATCATGGATATGGCCAGCCATATCTAAGAGATCTCTCTGGTGCTTGGAAAGCCCCATCTGAAATATTCAGAATATTTTTAACTTTCTTTATGTGAAAAAATACTTTCTCCAGCCTGCGGCCTGTACCTAGTGCAGGCAAGTCAGGATATCTGCTAGTTCTTGTCTGCATTGATCCTAGCCTGGCAGTAAATATTTTCAGTGTTGAAATGGAGTGGATTCTCATAACCAACAGTCCTGGAATGGTGCTGCCAATCCTCTTAAAGTCTTCCCATTGACAATTGTGCAGGCATTAAAGGGAAATGACTGGAGGCCAAACAGCTATAGGGTCAACAAATGCTGTGGCCCCCAGTATTATCACTCATCCTCTCTGCCTCATCAGTATGGGGATATATTTAGTTACTTTCTTTACAATTATTTCTCTCTCTTTCTCTCTGCCCCCCCCCTCCCCTTGAGCTTCTGGAAATGTTAAAAGGACACTAAGTGAGTGTGCAGCCATGAAATAGTCACTCTTTGTATTCCTGTGACCTTTTCTGTTCTTGCATAAAAGGTTCTACAGCAGCATAAAGGATTATTACTATTATTAGCTATTCTAAATGCAATGTTGACCATTTGCACTTCAACCTGCTCCTTTCCTTGAGGCTGGTCACTGCCACATCATTTGGGGAAATAAAATCAGTTGTGTCTGGTTTTTTATTTTTTACTACGTACTTAACACCAAAGCAGTGAAGCACTTTCGAATGGAAACAATCTAGATTATTCCAGTAAGCTCTTTAACCATTTCTTCTGCACAGCTATTGTAGTACAAAGAGAGGGGGAGGGCTGGCTTTGGTAATAATAATTATTGCCTTGAATTAAAAAACAAAACCCCGGTGTTTCAGATTAGCCCACCAAAGAAAGAGATAAACATACATGCCTGGTTCATTCACAATGCAAACCCAAACCACGGCTAAGCATGGACAAACCAGGATGAGGGTACTCCGAGGAAAAATATAAGGCCCTTTCACTTCTCTCCCATGCTACCTCCCATGGTTTGGCTTAGCAATGCATCCAAACCCATGTTCATGTTTTGTCTTGTTCCAGACAAACTCTGCACTGTAGCCAAGGTTTGTTCTTGACTTAGCACTTGTGCTTTTCCAGGGGAGCTGGGTATGTTTAGCCTGGAAAAGAGGAGACTGGGAGCAGTTATTGTAGCACCCTGCTTGTGGTTAACGCTTAGCTGGAATGAAATATTCAACGCAGCAATAGAGAAATTAAAATAATAATTTATTTGTCAGACAAATAAATGAGAGGCACAGTGGTATATGGTTACCAAGCTCTGGCCTGGCCTCCTGCCATTATGGCCAGCACTTATATTCCCTTAATCCAGCCCCCTTTGCTCCTCCTGTGGCTGCCTCTGTCCAATCAGCCTGGTTGAAATTCCTATTGGCTGATTGCTATAACCAATCCTAAAAGATACACCCATATCCTCCTGTCCTTATATGGAACACAAAGAGCTATATATTGTTACATCTATAAATGACAAATAAGTAGTAATATATCTTACATGTGTCTCAACAAGGAATCTTAATTACCAGCTCACCTCTTGCCCTCCTTGCCCTATGGTTAATAATTTTAAATTTTTATCTTGAACAGATGTCAGAGACCTTGGGTTCATATTCTCATGCATCATCAATGAAATATCTCCTTTTGGAGGTCTTTAAACAAAGGCCTGACAACCATTTGTCATGAGTGCTCGATTGGCGTCTCCTGTCTGGCAGGGGGCTAGGCTGGTGGCTGACTTAATTTCAGGATAAATACAACTCTTACAACTATATGAAATAAGAATCTAGCATTTCTTAAATCCTTTGCATAATTACATTTAAGCCAGCATATTTCATACATTATCATAGATAGCTTTTTAGAAGGATAAACTTCCTCAAAGTAAAAGGAAGGAACAGTTTACAGCCTCAAAATAAAATAGGAAAAAAGCCTCTTCCCCTGTTTACACTCCCCCCTTCTCCAGCCAGTTGCTTTGTTTTCCATGTGCTCTTGGCCTTTTGTCCTGTGGCTCAAGTTTAACGGTTTTATTTTACTATTTACCAACTCTTAATTATGTTGGGTCTATGTAACCTTGCTCTTAACCTGTAATTCCCTTTTTACGACTTTGAGAATTGTTTTCTGCTATAAATCAAGGGGGGCCCCTTGTCTAGGAGGAAAACATTGCCAAGGTTCTCTAAGCAGCTGGTCTTCTGCCTGGCATGAAACATTTGAAAATCTTTAAGCTCATTTTTAGAATTTTAGGAACCTGATCAAGATATAAGCCAATATAAGCCTTGATTAAAAATGCAGTCTATATTCAGATGCCTCATTATGATAAAAAGGTAAAGGTAAAGGGACCCCTGACCATTAGGTCCAGTCTTGGCCGACTCTGGGGTTGTGGCACTCATCTCACTTTATTGGCCGAGGGAGCCGGCGTACAGCTTCCGGGTCATGTGGCCAGCATGACTAAGCTGCTTCTGGTGAACCAGAGCAGCACATGGAAACGTCGTTTACCTTCCCGCCGGAGCGGTACCTATTTATCTACTTGCACTTTGACGTGCTTTCGAACTGCTAGGTTGACAAGAGCAGGGACCGAGCAACGGGAGCTCATCCTGTCGCAGGGATTCGAACCACCGACCTTCTGATCGGCAAGTCCTAGGCTCTGTGGTTTAACCCACAGCGCCACCCGCGTCCCGCAGTTATGATAGCCATCTTCAAATGTCTCAAGGGCTGCCACAGAGAAGATAGAGCAAGCTTGTTTTCTTATGCTCCAGAGGGTAGGACCAAACCAATGGCTTCAAGTCACAAGAAAGGAGATTATGACTAAATATCAGGAAGAACTTTCTGACAGTAAGAGACGTTCAACAGTGGAACGGTCTCCCTCCAGAGGTTATGGACTCTCCTTCCTTGGAGGTTTTTAAGCAGAGCTGGATGGCCATCTGCCATGGATGCTCTAGCTGAGATTGCTGTATTGCAGGGCATTGGGCTAGATGACCCTTCCAGTCCCTTCTAACTCTACAATTCTATGATTCTAAGATAAGACCTCTATGTATTTATTGGAGCAAATATGTAGCTCTGAATGAGGGTAACTGCGGGAGATGGAAAATTAGGCCCACAGCAAGTTTGATTCCAGAATAATAATGAAGTTTATCACATTTGGTATCATTGTCACAGCTAATAATTAGCAACTAATAACTTAACAACTAATAATAATGTAAAAAACCCACCAAAAGAGTGCTTTAAAAAATAATACACACAACAATACTTCGATGACACATAATATGTAAATAAAGTTTATTTTTTTCTCCAACTATATTTGCTTGAAGCAGTTTGTTGGCACACTTCTGGAATATTAAGTATTTGCTAACTTTAAAACTCATAAATATAAAAGGTTCTTTTAAATAATTATAGAAAGAAGGGTGGGGTATGCTGTGATATATTCCTATAATTCAGAGGTGCAGAAACCTTTTGGCCCATATTTGGTGATATTGAGGATATCCTATGAGGATATTTGGTGATATTGAGGATATCCTATGAGGATATTAAGAT